AAAAAAAATAAAATAAAATACAGCGGTACCTTGAGATATGAGCGTCTCGACATACGAGTATTCCGAGATACGAGCCAGCCTTCAAGCAAATTTTTGCTTTGAGATATGAGTAAAGACTTGAGATACTGTACGAACACCTCGTGTTACAAGCTCAGTCCTGGAACGGATTACGATCGTATCTCGAGGTATTACTGTATCTGTAGTAGAAGTGGACACAGGTAAATCAGGTGTGTCAAACATACGGCCCTGGGGGCCAAAACCAGCCCACTAGGCGGTTCAATCTGGCCCGCTTGATGAATTTTGAAAATAAAAAAATACTTAATGTTCAAGATATTCATTGAAAAATGATATTTCAGTAAAAATGATTATATAAGAATCCATATCTAATTACTAGTTATTTATAGTTGATGTACTTGAGTTATGATTGTACCTGTCCGGCCCACATGACATCTAATCATGGTGTATGTGGCCCCTGAACCAAAATTAGTGACTTGAGTTATGATTGTACTTGTCCGGCCCACATGACCCCTGAACCAAAATTAGTTTTACCCTCTTTCATGCAGTGCATATGCATTCCCTGCTATTGTCCCTGGTACCGAGTACTTGTTTCGAAATGGGAAATACTCTGTTCCCTGGTTACTGCAATTTACTGTACATTTTGCACATAGTTCAGAGACCTGTGTCCAGTTTCTGACACCGTTTTCCTGTGCAATAGCAAAGGCATATTAATTCTGCCTGACGGCTATATTTTCTTAGTGTCTACCTGCGACCTCTCCTTGTCCTCACCATCACCTGGACATGAGAACCTCAGGATGTTCACAGCAGAGAACAGAGCAGTAATTCTTCCAACACATCTTAATTGTTCCTCCCACCCTGCACTAAACCGTGAACTTCATCATGTGCTAAAGGGTAACGGAGCGTTACTCCAAAAGATAATAGGCGCTCATTGTCTGAGGCTCTGGACATTAAAGATGACGTGTTTTTTGACGGAAGAACATTAATGACTAATCTCTCCATAATGACTGTTCTCTGTTCAGCAAAAACAGTTCCAGCGTTTAATTTCTGGAGTTCAAAATCTTAGATGGAGTTCAGCATTGTCACAAATACGTAGAATATATCTGTATCTGTACATAGTTTATAAGTTAGCTGAAATTGTTAGCTACTATTCACTATGACTAAATTTCTGGTTCAAAGTTAATCAGACAAATATGCAGTTAGTCAAACTGACCATTGACTTAAGCAATCGTGAAATAGCCACGGTTAAAAAAAATAGCAGTTAGCTATAGCTCTTCCATTAGCTAAAAATAAGCAAAATGTCAAGGTAATTGTGTCAATAATAAGTAAAAGTTGGACGTAATAGTCAGAAGCAATATTTAAGGTTAGACGAAAGAATGTGATTTAACTGGGAATAAACTAACTTATGTTAGCATTTAGCATAAAAAAAGGATAAATAGCCTTCATTGTCATTGTCATGGCAGATTTAGCAGATTTCAAGGGTATTTTTTTTTTTACTTTTTTTTGCTTTAAACTTCTGTTTTTCGTTGTCTAGTTTATCTACCAGTTTTTGTTTTTCCGAGGAGTTGCTATACGTAAATGGTTTCGCTTGAAAATTAAGCGGAAACCATTGAATGCATTACATGCTACTTGCTGGGCTGTAAAAGAAAAAGTAAACAAAGTAAATGTAAATATAAATCAAAAATAATGTTCCAGACAATTTTTCATAGAGCTACAAAATATTACTTTAAAAAAGGCGATACATATTTGAATACAGAAACTGAAATTGGGATTATAAAATAATATATATATATAATAAATATAATAATTATTTTAAGAATCCAATGTAATAATTACTACGAAAATAATTTCATGTTTGCAATATCAGGATAAAAGGGTGGAAAACAAACAATGATCACGAAGATTGAAAAGGATTTGAAAAGTGGGTTTAGTGGAGGGAGAGTTGCCAAAATAGAGGTGAAAGCTGCAAACACAGACAATTTGTCAAAGTGGAGGAAAGTGAGGTTGGAAGGTCAGGGTGAACAGAGGCTTCGGTAGTTTTTATCCTGACACTGCAGTGCTGATTCAGACCCCTGCACACAGAGCTGTTAACAGTTCAGACTCTGAGAGGAGAAAAGCTCCAGAGCAGGGAGGGGGGGATAAAACCACCACTGCTGTTTATTTCATCTGTTGATAAAGGAGAATTTTTAACAGGCCCCAAAAAGAATTTGCGAAAGGAGTCAAAGTCAAACAACAGGGTGAACCAGACGCTGTCTGTTTTTAATGAAAGGGACTCTGAAAATAGAACTGGTGGACGCATTTCAGACAATAAGGCAGTGTTTCAAAATGTTCAGATGTTTTCAAAGAACAATCAAGCATGTCCGGATCCCTCTCGTCATTATCCGAGTCAGTCTCGTTGCTGTTAATTAGATTTCGTGAAACATTCGAGACTAATACCTTAGCCCTGGCATCCATGATCCATTGGCAGATAGTGGCGTAATTCGCCCGGCCATGCAGCTCGCAATTTAACTTTGAACGACATGTTAACACCAGTATTTAACAGTTGGAATTCTTTTGGTCAATCCAAAGATTTCCAAATTCGAAGGAAGCCCTGAATTAGTTTGCTTCACTTGGGGTTTGACGATATCGGTGAGATGGGCGCGCATGGAGTCACAGGTCAACAGGGACAGTTTGTGGAAAAGGGTAGTGACCTAAGTTCACAGGTCAACAGGCACGGTTTGTGGAAAAAGGTAGTGACCTAAGTTGGACACAGGAGGGCGCTGTTGTTGTTGTTGGTCCCTCCAGAGTCAGGCGGTTGTCACTATTTTTGTTGTGGATGGTCACCGTATTGTCGTTTTGACGCTGTTCGGTGCGGAAGTGCGGATGTTGTTTTGCAGAGAGAGTTAAACGTCATTGTTGGCTATCAGTGTGTTTCAGTTGTGCGCCATCATGCGTGATGCGGTGTGTGGTTTGGCTTTATAAAATCGGTTCAAGGTCAGTAAGCACAACCAGAAGTAATACATCAGGCGCACTGTCAATTTTTGAGAGAATTAAAAGGTTTTATAAAGTTTTATAATCCGGAAAATACGGTAATTAGAGGAGACGTTCTGTTTTTAATGTATTGGTAAGGCAGTAACAATGTACTGCAGCCGTGAACCAGCAAATATATACACCTGTTAAAAATGTTTTATGAAAGTTTGTAAGATGTTTGTAAAGGTAAACGAAAAAAGTTTGTGTAGTGTTAGGCAAAGTTCCCTGCAGGAACAAGTACCAAAAAAGGTACAGGGACTATGGGTTGTCACTGTAGTAACCAGCAGTTTACACTTATAAGTAATAAAACATAATTTAAATGAAAATAATTTGGTTAGATGTACTTCACTGACACACCTGGACCAGAGGAGGCAGTAATGGACCAACAGCTCTGTGTGTCTGCGAGCTAAAATTAGTGATTTTTTTCTCAATCTCAGGGAGATTGTAAAAAGTTCTAACATTTATTGACGTAAATCAGTGACATTTGCTGGACTGTGAAACAGGAAAAAGCCAATTTTAAAGCCACCGATTTAAACACATACCTATGTCGCCTACTTTACGACTGTCTTTAGATGAAGCGTGGGCAAACTTTTTGACTCGTGGGCCACAATGGGTCCTAAAATTTGACAGGGGACTGGGTTAGGAGCAGATAGATGGAGTGTTATATATAATGAAAATAGAAATTTGGAAAAGTTTGGTGGGCCGGATTAAAAAGCCAAACAGGCCGCATCCGGCCCTCTGGCCTTAGTTTGCCCATGCCTGCTCTAAATGCTACTTACCACCTGCACAGCACTGACAATGCAGATGGCAATTAAGGCCAATTGGAAATTCAATAGGGTTAAACAGAGGACCATATTTGAAAAATAAACAAATGTATCAGATGATCTGTGATAAACAGCTAATTCATAATATATATATAATATATATATATATATTTTTTGAAATTCTTTAATTTTTTTCTTTTTCAAATCAGATGATCAGATGATCTGTGATAAACAGCTAATTCATACATTTTTTTCTTTTTCAAATATATATATATATATATATATATATATATATATATATATATATATATATATATATATATATATATATATATATATATATATATATATATATATATATATATATATATATATATATATATATATATATATATATATATATATATATATATATATATATATATATATATATATATATATATATATATATATATATATATATATATATATATATATATATATATATATATATATATATATATATATATATATATATATATATATATATATATATATATATATATATATATATATATATATATATATATATATATATATATATATATATATATATATATATATATATATATATATATATATATATATATATATATATATATATATATATATATATATATATATATATATATATATATATATATATATATATATATATATATATATATATATATATATATATATATATATATATATATATATATATATATATATATATATATATATATATATATATATATATATATATATATATATATATATATATATATATATATATATATATATATATATATATATATATATATATATATATATATATATATATATATATATATATATATATATATATATATATATATATATATATATATATATATATATATATATATATATATATATATATATATATATATATATATATATATATATATATATATATATATATATATATATATATATATATATATATATATATATATATATATATATATATATATATATATATATATATATATATATATATATATATATATATATATAACCCAATAATAATGTCATCATTGGATTCAATAATAACGTGCCAATTCCTGGTCTTCTAGAGTAAAACCAACCGGGTGTTGGCTTAGACTACGGCAAGAAGAGCATGGAACCCATCAGCAAAACGGCGTGCGTGTTGGTGTGTTATAATTCCCACTCACTATTCTCTTCTGCCGCTGCTTCTTCTTCAGCCTGATGAATTCCTTATGTTGCCTGGACACGAAGTTCACAGCAGCGTACTCCAGCAGAGCAGCAAAGACAAAGAGAAGACACACGGCCATCCAGATGTCAATGGCCTTCACATAGGACACCTAGAGAAAGACCAGATTAGAGTCAATCTATAACAAATCAATGAGGTTGATGGATGATGGACGAGGGCAATTTACTTCTGCCCCCTCCCTCGGCCTCCCTGCACGAGAAAAGACACACATGTCTCAATCGTGTCTGTATTACAATGAGTCAGATGGGTCAGATGGGAAGACGGGTCGATCCTTACACCTGAGAAAAACCCTAACCTTAAGTGATCTCCTGGAAGCTGACTTTTTTGATCCGAAACTATTTTAACAATTTTTCAGTGAATACATCTTTAATCCTACAATTTGAGTTTGGATCAGAAGATTGGGGGTTCTAGTCCCCTCGTGGTTGAACATTATGTGGCTTGACGGTTTAGGGAGGTTTCAGGTTCGAGGCCACTGAGGTGCTTTGAGCGTGGCTACTGTCCCCACTCACTACTGCCCCCTGCTCACCTGGTGATAGGTTAAAAGCAGAGGTCACATTTCGTTGGGTGTGCTGTGTCTTAATGACAAATAACTGACTTAAACTAACTGATTTAATGAGCCCCAGTCATGAGAATTTCCACAGACACGTTCATACATGTCTTTAACGTCTGACTCTAATTTGAAAACAGCTGCAAAAATTACTACTGAATCTCAGGGCTTCATTAAAAATCAGTATACTTTTGCTGAGACTGTAACTTCTGAGATTATAGATTTTTGTCAAAATTATCCTAAGGCATCAGGTCAACCAGCAGCAGTGAGACTTAACTACAGCAAGAAGTTGCTGTTTCTATGGTTTCCTGCTCCGTGCAGAAAATGTTAATGCGGAAACATATCTATGTTTCATTAGAAAAGAAAAAAAAAAAAAAAAAAGGACAGCCACCTGCCAATTTCTTACACTTTGTGCTCCTCGGTGTTTTCGTGTCATTTCTTATACTTTGTGCTCCTCGGTGTTTTCGTGTCTCCTCACTTTAGGTCTTTGCTCTGGGTCTGGAGGTTTAAACTTGTTCCAATGCAAATTCATGATAATATAATTCTCCTGAATGGTTCATCCATTTCTAAATCTCTCTAAAGCCTTTTTTTTCAACCTCTGCCTAACTTTTTCGAAGGCTGTAACTTCTGCAGTTCAGCATTTGTATCTACAAATATTTTTTAAAAATGTATGTACTTGTAATTAGCAGTATAGAGAGTGATATACAGATCTAAATATTTACTTAGATCAAACAGAGTTTAACTCTTTAGATCAGCGGTGTCAAACTCATTTTCACCGGGGGGCCACATCAGCAAGGGTCAGTTTTAAATGAAAGACTGTACAGATCAGGTGTCCCCAAACCCCAGTCCGCGGACCAGTACCAGTCCATAGGTCATTTGGCGCCGGGCCGCAGTCGGACACAGTGAAAAAATATCCATATCCGTCATATCCATTTACCAGTACTTTCTTTATTTAAAGATAATCTGGCAATATTTTAAAAATAGTAGGTCATTCAGACTCTGATACAAACAGAATAAAGTCTAAAAGATGTTTTTATTTTGAAAATTGAATGATCCTTCAATGCTCAGCACCTTGGTACCAGTCTGTAGTAACTGGTGGTACTGGCTGACCAGTCCTTGGAAGCAAAAAAAGATTGGGGACCACTGGTATTGTTCATTGCTGTCCAATAAAAAAATCTTAGGTTAGAAAGATCTGCTACATGGACTTTACTAAATGTTTTTTAAGCTCCCCTAGGTCAAACAAAATGGCTTGGTGGGCCGCATTTGGCCCCCGGGCCTTGACTTTGACACATGTGCTTTAGATCTAACTCATGAACCTGGAAAGGATTAAGTGGAGAGACAGATGTATCCATATATTTGTCCAGTCTGAGCTGATGTGGATCATATGTCATAAT